CTTTCAAAATAAAATTATAAAAAAAGAAATTATATATATATATATATATATATATATATATATATATATAGGCAGTCACAGAGCTAGGCCCTCAAAGGAGCCAGTGCAGAAGACCAGATATCTTGTAGCCTTGGAGGAGACAGTCACCTTCTGCTGTGGGCCTGACCTCAAGACAAAAGACAAACTAAATACACCCTCATTTTAAGGAGGGTATTTTTTCAGGGGGGGAGTGGTATCAGAGATTGAACTCATGACCTTGTGTTTACCAAGCAAGGGCTTAAACCACTTTGCTAAATCCCCAGTGCTTAAGAATGGTATTCTTTTTTCTTGATACCAGGGATTGAATTTATGACCTAGCGCTTGCCCCTGAGCTAAATCTCCAGCCCAAGGATGGTATTCTTAATAGGTCTCTGTTGTCCTGAGGAAGCCAAGACTCCCTAACCCAACCTTCTATAGCCAAATGCCCTGTTCTATATTCATGCCTGCTTGCTCCTTGACTTGCTTCCCCATCTGATCCTGATTTTACCTGAGTAATTACACTTGCAATCTTATTGGTTGACCAAAGTTCTGTCCTACCTTATGTCCACTTGCCTTGCGGGTTCCCATTTTTCCCCTGCTTTACACCCATGTCATCTTGTGGTTTTGCTCTATAAAAATTCCTAGAATGGGCTGGGGATATAGCTCAGCTTCACAAGTACTTGCTTGGCAAATGTGAGGTCCCAAGTTTGATTCTAGGTTCGAAAAAATTTTTTTTTCTAGAAAAGGCAGGGTCCTTGGCAACCCACTTGGGACCCCTTTTGTCTCTCTCTCATACAGACACTTTCTTGTTCTCTATATATTCTGCTCTTAACCTCTGTTGTTCCTAAAATTCATTCTTTGATTTTATTTATTTATTTATTTATTTATTGTCAGTACTGGGAATTGAACTCATGACTTGCAAGGCAGGCACTTATGCTGCTGAGCTAAATCCTCACCCCCAAGTCTTTGATTTTAGAGAACACAAGCTCATGCCAGACATTTAGTAGGTTGGGAGTTTCTTTCCTGTGTATCAGTACCACTGAACTACATTCCTAGCCCTTTGTAAAAATTTTTGAGACAAGCTCAGACTAGCTTTGCACTTTAAAACTGGCCTCTTGCCTAAATAGTTGGAATTATAAGTATGCACCATCCTGCTGGGCTGCATCTCATTGTTTATCTCGTTCATTAGAATGGAAGCTATATGATGAGGAGTACTTTTTTGGGTCTGTTTTGTTCAGTCATTATATATCCATGACATAGTACTGTGATGGTTCTAGATATATAGATACATCAATAGGTATTTGGTGAATGAATGGATGAAAAGGGTAGACACTACCAACATTTGATTCCCACCCACCCCCAACCCTTTTTTTTTGGTACCAGCAATCCAACTCAAGACCTTTTATTTGCCAGGCAGGCCCTTATGCCACTGAGCCATATCCCCATGTCCATCCTCCCCGTTTTTGAGAAGGGTCTTGCAGTGTAGCCCATGCTGGCCTGGAACTTGTGGTGATCCTCCTGTCTCAGCCTCCCAAGTGCTGGGATTACAGGCATGTGCCACCATGCCCAGCCAAAATAGGTACAACCCTTGGAGACATAGGTGTAGGCAAGAACTTTCTGAACAGAACTCTAGTGGCAAATGAAATAATACTGAAACAAATGGGATTATATCAAATTAAAAAGGTTCTGCACACAGCAGGAGAAACAGAGTGAATAGACAAGTTATAGAATGAGAAAAAATTTGCCAGCTATTCCTTGGACACTGAACTAACATATAAAGAACTCAAAAAAATAGACCTTTCCCAAGTCAAAAACTTAATCAAAAGAATGGGCAACTGAAATGAATAGACACTTCTCAAAACAATGGCAGTTGGTTAATAAATACACAAAAAAAATGCTCATCATTGCTGGCCTTCAGAGAAATGCAAATAAAACTATACTGAGATACCATCTTAATCTTAAAAGAATGGCTATCATAAAAAAGCTAATAATAACAAATGCTGGTGGGGCTGGGGATTTAGCTCAGCGGCACAAGCGCCTACCTTGCAAGTGTGTAGTTGTGAGTTCGATCCCCGGTACTGATAAAAAAAAGAAAAAGACAAAAAAAAATAATAACAAATGTTGGCAATGATATAGGGAAAAAGAACTACATTCCCTACTACATTATTAGTGGGAACTAGTACAACCACTAAGGAAATCAGTGTAGAGATTTCTCAGAAAACTAAAACTAGAAATTCCATTTGATCCAGCTATCTGACTTCTAGCTATCATCCCAGAAGAATTAAAATCATCATATTACAGAAATACATGCATACCCATGTTTAAATCAGCACAATTTATAACAGACCTTGGAAACAGCATATATGTCCATCAACAGATAAATGGGTAAGACAAATGTAATATTAATACACAAGGGAATACTACACTGCCATAAAGAAAGATAAATTTGAGCTGAGTATAGTGGTACACACTTGTAATCCCAGCACTTGGGAAGCTGAGGCTCAAGGATCATCACAAATTCAAGGCCAATTTATTTTACATAGTGAGTTCAAGGTCAGTGTGAACTACACAGCAAGACTCTGTCTCAAGACAAAAAATAAGCTGGGGGTTTAGCTGGACAGCATAAGCACCTGCCTGGCAAGCACAAGGTTGTGAGTTCTACCCCTGGTACAAAAAAAATGATAAAATAAAACTTGAGAGGGCTGGGGATTTAGCTCAGCAGCATAAGTGCCTGTCTTGCAAGCATGCAGTTGTTAGTTTGATCCCCAGTACCAATTAAAAAAAAAAAGAGAGAGAGAGAGCGTAAGAATTCAAACTAAAACTTGAGGCATTCATAGATAACTGGATGCAACTTGAGAACATAATGTTAAGTGAAGTAAGTCAGACACACAAGCTAAAATACTGCATGGTTTCTCTTATATGAGAAACAAAGACCAAAGTAGAAGACAGAGAAATAGGAAATCAAGAAAAGTTCAAATACTTCCCCACATTACAAATTCCATTGTTTTAAAAATACTTCAATATACATGTTAGTTGGTTTAATTTATACTACCAGTTTACCTCAGTTCATTGAAAGATTTGTATTATGTTTCTTTTTTGTAAGAATCTTGTTTGTTTTGTACTCCGAGTCAATACTTTGGAGATGTACTTTGGAGATGTAATAACTACTGTTGTTCTCTTATTATCTAATTATGACATTTTATTCTTTAAAAAAGAAACATGGGGAAAAAAAAGATGCTGGCTAAAGAAGAGATTAAATGTAGAATAAAAGCACTTGCCAGAATGTTCACATCTGGTCAGCTGGACCAGCATGGATGACTGCTGGTCCTGAAAGAGGCTGGTAGGTGATGGAGTTTAATAAAAGTTGGGCCTGAAAACTTTTTTTTTACCAGAAAGCATGAGAATTTCTGAAGGGAAGACTGGGTCAAGAATTGAAGGGCGTGAGTTTGATCCCTGGTACAAAAAAATTACAGGGCTGGGCTGGGGATTTAGCTCAGTGGCAAAAGTGCCTGCCTTGCAAGCAGGCAGTGGTGAGTTCGATCCCCGGTACCAATGAAAAGGAAAAAAGACGACAAAAAAAAAAAAAAAAAAAAAAATTTTACAGGGGTGTGGTGGTGCACCCCTGTAATTCCACCACTAGGAAAGCTGAGGCAGGAAGATAGCTGTGAGTCTGAGGCCAACCTGGATTACATAACGAGTTCAAGGGCAACCTGAACTACATAGGGAGACCCTGTCTCAAAAAACAAAACACAACCCAAAACAAACCTAGGAATCAATAAAAGAGGGGGAGAGGTGACCAGACTTAACTCTATGGGATTAGTTTGGTCTAATCCTGAAGAAGATAATTGAGTTCCCCTGAAGTATTCTGCTGTCTGAGATTTACTAGTCCCTCAAACCTGTACTTAAGTCTCCGGTGTCAGAATGGGGCAGGCAACCTTACAAGATCAGTGAGTTGCCTGGTGTGGTGACACACGTGGACCATCCAGGCTGAGTGAGAGGACCCCTAACAGGTGCCCAGCCTGGGCAACCTAGCAACTTAGTGAGACCCTATGTCAAAATAAAAAAGGGCCTGGGGATGTAGCTCAGTAAGAAGGCATTGTGTTCAATTCTCAGTATGGAAAGGGGAGGCCCGGATGGCAGGAGGGCAGCTGGAGGCAAACCAGATTCCACTCGAGGGCTGCAGGGAGTGGCTTTCTCTGTGAACTGAGTCTTTGGGCCAGTGCCCATGTTCATTAAATTATCACCAGCTGCTAGCAAAGCCTGAAATATAGTTATCACATGTTTTTGTTTAAGACATAAAGGAATAGGTATGGTAATACGGAAAAAAGTCTGAGAGGTGACAGGAGGAACGTAAAATTACTCAGAAATTATGCGGCAAAAGCAGATTTTCCTGGGAAGCAACAAAGAAAAAGAGCCTGTAACTACACCGTACGCTAGTAGCCATTTTTAAAAAGGGATTACAGCGCAAACACTGAGGAGGGATGGAGGAGTGCGATTACATGAAGCAGCAGTAACCGCGGCCTGCCAGAGACTAGGATTGGCTGGGGCTCAAGGAAGGGCCAATACGCAGATTAAACAAATGTCTTTCCGAAACTAGTATGCGACTAAAGAAGGTTAACGTCACTTCCGGTTTGTAAGCGCGGGGCGGAGGGACCGGAAAGCGGGAAACAAAAGGAGCCGAAGCACGCATGCGTTTGGTGGGCCCTTCCGCTGAAGCAAGAAGAAGCGCTTCCGGGTCGCTGCCGGCTGCCGTTCCCGGCCCGGTAAGTATCAGAAGCGAGGCTGTGGTTCTTTTTTGCTCCTTTTTCCTTCTTTCCCCCAGAGAAGTCTCACTCTCTTGGAACTCAATGTGTAAACCCCTTCACCCTTAAAGAGCTGCTCCTCATTGGTCGCTTCATTGCGGTTAAGCCCCACCCCATCAACCCCAGACCCGTCATTCATTGGTGTCACTTCCTGTCACCTTGGCTTTTCTTTCAGTTAATTGGCTCTACCCAGGCCCCGCTCCTTTCGCTATTATCAACCCTATAAGGACAAACTCCTGCCGAGGCCCACCCCTGCCTTCCTTCTGTTGGTCAACTGTGCGGCCATTATTATAATAAGCAAAGAATGGGCGGTGGCTTTGCGACGATGGGTTGGGTTTTCCGAGGCAAGATCTCTGGGTTGTCAGTGTTTGTGGGACGTGAGGGTGGACTCATGTTTGGGACTAGGACTGGGAAGTTTGGGTCCACAGAGTGGCAAGCGGCCGGTCCTAAGTTAGTCAAATAAGTTAGGGAAACACTGGCTTCCACCTAGATTCTTTTTTTCTGCTGTCGTCCAGTGCTGGGCCTGGATCCTTTCCCTGCGCAAGCTCTAAGCCCTGGCTCAATGAATGACCTAAAAGCCAGTCAGCTTGTTACTGGGTCTCAGTCTTTCTGTGAGCTGAGGTGTTTTAATTTAGATTCCTTGGGATCTTCCTGGTCAGCCTTTTCAGCTGATTTACTTTTCTCGTACATATTAGCCCAGTCTTTCAATCTTTCACCTCGTTATGTAACCATGTATTCATGACTTCTAGAAAGTCCTACTAATTTGCTTGCAATTTGACTGTGGCCCACTAGAGAGGTGGTTAGTGTTCCAAATTTTTCACACTGGGTGGGTATTACATGGACCATCAGAAAAGGGGCAAAAATTAAGATTTAGGATTGGGGGTGAAGTAGAGATAATTTTAGTAGAGCCCTGCTGCCTGTAGTTTTGAGACCGTTTCACTGCGTAATTCAGGCTAGGTTTGAACTCACCGTGTAGCCCAGGCTGATCTTGAACTTGAAGTCCTGTGTCAGCCTCCAGGTTCCTGAGATTACAGGCGTTCACCACCACAGCACACAAGGTAGTGCCTTTAGTTTTGTAATGCCAGTCTGTATTTTGGATTCCATCTCTATAGTTGGCTCCCATTCTTCTCCTTTCACTAACAAGCCATAGCTTTACTTAAACATTAATTATCAGAATAACTTTGAGGGTGGTATAATTGTCATTGTCTTCATTTTACAGCTGAGGAAACTGAGACCCAGAGAGATTAAGTGACTTAGCCACAGACAGCTAGTAAGTGGTAGAGCCAAGGACTCAAACTCAGATCTGTGTGACTCCCAGAGGGAAGAGTTGTTTCCCTGCTACCTTCTACTATGCCCTGTCCCTAATTCAAGTTACAACCAATTGAAATCCAAAGGAAAACATGTTTACCTCACACTTTTTTCTCAGTCCAGAAGCCATGTCCACCTTGTTCCCCTCACTCCTCCCCCGTGTGACTGAGACACTGTGGTTTAACCTGGATCGACCTTGTGTGGAGGAGACAGAGCTTCAGCAGCAGGAGCAGCAGCACCAGGCCTGGGTGAGTGAGAACCTAGATCGCCTCAACTGCCCACCCCCATCCCCCACTCCTTACCTGCCACGGATCTCACTCTGGAAACCTACCCTGGAAGAGCTCTTTGCCCTGAGCTGGGAAGAGTCAGGCTGGGAGCCAGGGGTGAAGGCACTTGTCTTCAAATGGTGAGAACAAATGGTGCTCTCATTGGCTGGAGGCCCATGGCACTTCTGGGCAACATTTAGGGCTCAGTTCCCCTCACTTAACCTAAACTCTTTTCCCTAAAGTACAGGATTTGATCATTTTAACTATTTATTATACTTTGGATCTAGTAGATGCCACGTTTTAGGCTGTCACTTCACCTTTACCATGACTATACAAAGAAATGAAGGTCCAGAGAGTTTAAGAAGTTGGATCAAATTTATAAGATGACAGGAGAGAAAGGAACTGAGTCTTCCTGAGAACTGGGAGGAAGCTTCTCTGCCAACACTTAGGGATCTTCTTAGGGTCAGAGTGGGCCAGTTCCATACCCCTGATCTGTCTTTCTTGGGCCCTCCCAACCTCACTTTGCCCACAGCTCCAAAGCATCGCAGAAAAAGACAACAACCTGGTACCTATTGGCAAGCCAGCCTCAGAGGTAAGTTTCTGCAGCAGGTGGAGCATATGTGAGGCCCATGGTAGACCAAAGCCCTCCTGTAATTCTTTTTTTTTTTTTTTTTTGTCTTTTTCCTTTTTATCGGTACCGGGGATCGAACTCACGACTGCCTGCTTGCAAGGCAGGCGCTTATGCCGCTGAGCTAAATCCCCCCCTCCCCCGTAATTCTTAATGCCCTGTCTCTGAGCCACAGCAGTAGTGGTTCTTGGTCTGGGTAGAGGCTAGAAAAGGGAACCACAGTGGGTGGTAATGGGCCTACTACTATTATCTTACTGAACATGCACTAGCCTGCTAGATTCAGTTGGGGCAGGGAGAGGGGAGCTCCAAGTGGGGCAACTCTAGAACTGGTTCAGGGAGCCCAGTAGGGCCTCAGGCTCTCCCCTGCCTTACCAGCACTATGATGATGAGGAAGAGGAGGATGAAGATGATGATGAGGATAGTGAAGAGGACTCAGAAGATGATGAAGACATGCAGGACATGGATGAGATGAATGACTATAATGAATCACCTGATGATGGAGAGGTCAATGAGGTAGGCATAGGGTGTGAGGGAGGGTTTCTTTTCCTGGGCCCCTAACCTGAACTCATTGATGGCCAATGGGTACAGAAACTCTGGATTCTCCAAGGGCAGGATCTGGGGCTAAAACCCCACCCCACCTACACTCAGCCTCCTTTCCAGGTGGACATGGAAGGCAACGAACAGGATCAGGACCAGTGGATGATCTAGGTAGACAAGGCAGGGTGGCAATTCCAGGCCAGCCCAACCTACTCTGCATCCCCAGCCCCAACTTCTCAGTTCACACAACTAGCTGATGGTCTCAGTACCTGAAAGCTCATCCTTGGGTACATCCTCGTCTGTTGCCAGGACCTGATCTTGACCCCTCCTAGACCATCAGTCTGCCCTTGAATCCCCAGACCTGAGCCCATCTCTCTTTCCTGGCTGGTACCTCACCCCTTGGTTGCCAGGTCTGGTATCTTTCTAACCCTTGTTAATAAAGATACAGGACTGATTTCCCCCCTATGTCTATTCCCTATTTGGTGGGACCTAGAGGAGTCCAACATCATCTTTGGGGCTTAGGGGGAGAAGCGAGCGTTCGAGGGATATGAAGGAAACCTAATTGGCCATGTAGACCAGTGTCAGAGAACCTGGGCCCAGGCTTCTGTGCACCTGCTTGCCCCCAGCCAATCTTGCAGGGCTGCTTGTTATCTTGTATCTCCTCTAATCCTGCCCAAGATGTCAAGGCTGGTAAGGGGAGGCTTCCTGAAGCAGAGCTGGGAGGCCTCAGGAATCTTCTAGCTAGCTATCTTAATGTAGATTAAATCTCAGTGCAGGGTAGGACTCCAGCAAACCAGTGACAGCTGACCTGGGAGCTCAGGCCTCCTGCTCTCAGGCTGTGGCTTTCTCTACAAGGCGGGGCATCAGTGCAACCAAGCAATTGGATAAAATTTGACACTTCTTTAGGTCAGTGTGGGGTCTGAAAAGGGGCAGAGTTGGGAAGACAGCCTCCTAGCCCTAGGCCCTGCATGTATTGGGCCCCAAATAGGGAGGGAAGGGGATGTTCCAAGTTCCTTCATTGGGTGGGGGGAAATGGGAGTGAAGAAGTAAATATTCCTGGTCCTGGACCTCAGCCAGGTCCAGCATAGGTGAGCTGGGCTATACCATCCTTGATGGCAGGAAAGTCTAGAAGGCCAGTGTGGTGTAGGCGGCAGCGGTATCGGCCACAGCTCTTGGCATACTGCAGGAAGCGGGGTGCACCAGGGAAGAGCACATGGTCAGCCAACACAGTGGCACCAGCTGGCAGCAGAGCATGGGCTTCCAGTAGCTGCAGGTCCCGCAAGTAATAGCGGGGCCGGTGTGCCAGGAGCACTAGGTCTAACCGACTCTGCTGATGCTGGGCTCGCAGGCGTGGAATCACCTCCTCTGAACTGCCAACAATGAGCTCAACCTGTGGGGGAAGACAGAGCTGTGAGAGTGGAGGGATTCTTTTCCCACTCCAGGCCCTACCAGGACCTGCCCTGAGTCCCCATTTCCTGTGGCCTCAGAAACCAAGAAGTTACATCATGTTGTAATTTCCATTAAAGCCCATGAAGAAGCTGAAATTCAAAGACTATGGGCTTTGTCAAGGTCACTCGGCTAACCAGAGACAGACTAAGTCTTGAACTCAGAGTTGCTGAACTCTGGGGACTTCTTAGCTGCTTTTGTCATCCAGTGGAAAGTATATACTGATGGTCTGGGACAGAAAGAAGCTCACACACCTTACAGAATCACAGTTGCTAAGAGGTCTAGGGCAAGGCAGGGAGTGCCAGAGAAGAGATCAGAGTTAGGGAAATTGGGAAGCTGACCGTGCGCTCATCAAAGCCAGCCAGGCGGATGAGTTTCTCAGCCACTGCTGCAGTACGTGGGTCCCGCTCCACAGTGAGAAGGTGACTCCCAGGGGACAGGACTCGGGCAATGAGCAGCGTAGAATATCCACAGTAGGTGCCCAGCTCCAGCACACAAACAGGGGCCTTCTCTTCCACCAGCCGCATTAGGATCTGACCTACGGTGCAAGACGGCTATTGTAGAAGACACAGGAAGTGGCTGCAGGGCCCCTTATGAAGAAGCTGCATATCCGTGTCTCCTTGTAGCTCCCAACAAACTGGAGTTTCATTTCTTCCCCAGTTGCCCCATTGACCCTCCTGCCCCCTCGTCTATTCACCTGACAAATTTGTCAATCTCTGGCTCCTATGATTTTATAGGCCATTAGGGTTGAACTGGGATCCTCACCCTGGCATTCAAGACCTTATTAGACTGATCCTATCCTCGCTTTCCAGCTCCCAGCTCCTCTCACCTGTAACTGGAAACCACAGCTATCCCAAACAGCTGTTCCCAGAATCAACCATGATGCCTCATTCCTCCATGCCACATCTGTACATGTGACTGACTTTGCCTTTCCCCATTCCCATCCCCAGCCACCTGGCCAACTTGAAACCAGGCCTTCTAGACTCAATTCAAGTGTTGCTTCCTCTGGAAGTGCCTAGTAGAAACAACCACTGCATTTTCCAGGCTTCTGAGAGGCTCCTAGTTTCACACATCACACCTTTTTATTGTTCATTGAATATATTTCTGATCTTGGAATTGATGCTTTTTTAAAATTTTTTGGTTCTGAAAATGAAACTCAGGACTTTGCACTTGCCAGGAGAGGAGCTCGTACTGCTGAGCTATATCTCTGGCCCAATTAATGAGTTTAAGCTGAGGCTGAGATAAATACAGGTAGTATTGTCCTGAATTTGATGCAGAAACGTTTATGGTAGGGAAGAAAGACTTGGGCACAGATAATTACAAAGCTGTGTTATAGTTTCTCCCTGTGTATTATGGTTTGAAGCTAGCATTTGATTGGTTCATCTCTATTGCCTCTACCTCTTCCACACCAAGCACGTTATCTGGTACAAAATAGATGGCAATAAATATTTACCAGATGAATAAATGACTCAGTCAAAGTCCATTTCCAAATGAAAAAAGATACAGAATCTGTAGAAGAATAGGAGCCTGCCCAATTCACCCAGTAAGATAATAAATGGTCCCCGATCTTTCCTCACCCTTTTGGGGGTACTTCCTGGAATACTGACCTTTGACAGGCCCCATGTGGCTCAGGTACTCGCAATGGCTGCTCCAGTGGTCCAGAGTGGTGAGGATGTGACCAGGATCTCCAGGCAGGGCATGGGTGAGCACATAGCTGAAGGCTCTCTCCTCAATCCGTAACCCTGACAAGCAATCTCGGAGGCTCCTCAGCAAGACTGTGCGCACGAGCAGTCGGAAGTAGTGCCGGTATCGAACTAGCAGTGTTACCACTAGCGGCAGGAATGCAAGCGCGATTGCAGGGGACATGATCCCTATCTGGGCTCTGGGGTGGAAGGAGGTAGGAGAGAAACCCACACCCACAAATTTCCCTTTGTGTGTGCAGCCATTACCAGTAGCATTTGTTATGCTCATATTTTACAGGCTATGGCTGAGAAATGCTGTGACTTTTGTCCAGTCACATTGCAGAACTGGACACAGCAGATAGTAAACATTCATTGATTTAAAAAGCTAATTGCTGGTCATTGTGATGCATGTCTGTAGTCCTAACATGAAAGATCGAGGCAGAAGGATCACGGTAAGTTTGAGGCCAGTCTGAACCACATAGTGAGACTCCGTCTCAACAAACAAAACCAACAACAAAAACCAAATCAGTTGACAGTGGATAAAGATGAAGCACAGGAAGCTGGAGCTAAATACAGGTTGGTATTATTCCAAGCCTTCTTTTTTTTTTTTTTTTTTTTTTAATGCCTGTGTATTATCAAAGATTCTAGTCTGGGTGTGGTGGTACATGCTTGTAATCCTAACACTTGGGAGGATGAGGTCAGAGAGTTGCTGTAAATTCAAGGTCAGCCTGAACTGCATAGTGAAATATTGTCTCAAAAAGACAAACAAAACAAAAACTATACTGTCCATGTTTAGCTCAACCCAAACTACCTCTTTCTAGTGCCAACTTCTCCATCTCCACATTGCTCCTCACACCTATTTCTTGTCAGTCCTGATGTCACCCCTCCTTCAAGACCTCTCTCAGTTCATTTTACAGTATCCTCACCCCCACCAGACCCCTTAGCTGCTTGGTCTCCTCACCTAATACTGTGTAGCCGAAAAAGGCTTCTTTGTTCAGAAAATGCTGCATTGTGGGCTGGGATATAGTTCAGTGGCACAAGCACCTGCCTGGTAAGTGCAAGGTCCTGAGTTTGATTCCCCATACAAAAAACAAAAACTACATTGTCACTGCAAAAGGTAATTGAAATACTCCATCAAGTGTAAAGGTGAAATGTCTTTTTTTCCCACCCCAGGACTCTGCTCTTCACTGACGGTGGAAGAAGTCCTTGATTCTTTCTTCCTTTCTTTCTCCCCTCTTTTTTTCTCCCTCTTTCCCTGTGCTGTCAGCAATTTCTTTACACGTGCATATAAAAACACCACACACTTTCCTCTTAGCCCTTTTCTCCTGTGAAGGATGGTTGCGCTCTCCTCTCCCAGTGCTGGACCATCCCTCCCCTCCAGATCTGTCCTGGCAGGACTTCCAGAGCCTCTGGTGGGGATGGGGGAGGATTAAAGTAGAATGCATGAATGGATGTGAATCGGTGCATTGATGGCATGGGAACCCACAAGGCCCGCCTTACCTGGGATAGACGCTCCTGCTTAGGAAGACTAGTACCCAACCGAAAGGGGAGTCCTTGGGGGGATAATCCTGAGACGGGAAGCAGGACCTGCTGTCAATTATTGATGGTGAGGCAGCTGTTGCTACCTGAAACTTGCAGTTCAAGTTACTAGAGCTGCCTGCTATACTTTAGGAGTCTTCAAAAACTTTAAGAGAACTCCAGGGTCTTGATTTGGGGGGCAGGTGGTAAATGGTACTAGGTCTGGTGATTTCTCCCCCAGTCTCATGAATCAGCAGATGAAACATGCTGTGAGCCAAGGTGAGGGGGAAACTGAACATTATTCAACTTGAAATTCAAGTTTTCTGTAAGCAAGTATTAGGGCTTGGGTCACAGAGAAGAGTCAAAATCTGCCCCAGACCTCCAGAAACTGTCAGTTTGGTTAAGAGCTAAGAACAAAAGATCACAATATGCTATGATCACTAGATTGTTTGATATCTGAGTACAAGAAATTTTGAATTTTCTGAGTGTATCCAGAGAGAACACTGGGGTAAGCAGTAAACAATCATTGACCTAATGAATTCATACGGTATAAAGAGAAGGCACAGGAACCTGAAGGTGCTCAGAGAATGGAGTCAGAGAAGATAATCAGATGGGTATCATTAAGCAACCTTGTAGAAAGCAGGCAGCCCTGGTGGGGAGATAGTATGCTAGGTCCCAGGTGCAAAGTACAGATCAACCAAGAAACGAAGTATTGCTGGGTGGCATATGGTAGGCCTCTCAACCACCAGGAAGGCTAAGGGAGGAGGAAGCAATTTTGGGATCATTCTAGGCAACTTAGGAGACCCTGTCTCACAAAAAGGTTGTGAAGGAATATAGCTCAATGGTAGAATGTTTGTGTACCACACTTGAGACCCTGGGTTCCATATGTAGTAATGCAAAAAACAAAACAAAAACCAAAAAGAAGAAATTGCAAGTTTTTTCTACAAGCACACTCCCCCACCCTCCGCATTGTGACATGAAGTGGGAGGCAGGTTATCAGTGCATAATCTAGAGTTCAAACTTGGTCCTGTATCCTTTGCCCAAGGGAAGACAGGAGATTTTTTAATCTTTTGAGACAAAGTTGTGTTAGTTTAGACTGGCCTTTCACCCACTATTGAGCCGAAGCTAACCACTCGCGGCAATCCTGCCTCAGCCTCCGAAGTGCTGGAATTACAGGCATTTACCACCGCCCCTATTTAGGAGAGGTTTTAAAAGAGTGAACTGGGAGGCTGGGGATTTAGCTCAGCGGCATAAGCTCCTTGCAAGCAGGCAGTTGTGAGTTCGGTCCCTTTTACCGATAAAAAGGAAAAAGACGAGGAAAAAAAAAAAAAAAAAAAAAAGAACTTAGCCCCGCATGAAGGTTAAGGACTATAATTCTATCACTTTGGAGGCAGAGGTAGGACGATCTTCATTTTTTTCTCTTTTATACCAGGGATTCAACTCAGACCTCACACTTGCCAGGCAAGCGTTTATGCCGCTGAGCTAAATCCCCAGCAGGACGATTTTCATTTCAAGGGTAACCTGGGCTAAATAGCCCGTCTCTGAGCCCCACACCCCCCAACAAAGCTTTATGTAAGATTACTATGGCTGCCATCAAAAGGCGGAATTGAAGAGAAACGCCTGAAGGAGACAGGTGAACAAGGTGGTCTTCACTTCCGCTAGTGAAGATATAAACTCCCCCTTTCCCCGCCCAGATTGGGTACCTATCTTCTGAGGCTTGTGTGTTCCCTAAACCGTAAGTTCCAGGCGTCTTGGGCCTGGATCCCAGTCGCCCCTCATGTGGCATTTGGAAGAGTATATCATGACAGCAGTTGGCATGAGTTTGCTCACTCGCCCAGAAAGACAGCCTAAGGGCCATGTGATCACACAGCATAACTATATCCAAAGGTTTAGAGGATTTAAATTTACAGGAGGGGAAGCTGATAGTCATGTGACGCGCCCCTCCCGGTCCTGGCATCACGTGATTTTTGTCCTGGCACATAGAGCGCGTCTTCCCAATGGTTGGTGGTGGTCACGGGGTTGGGGGCGGGGCCGGAAGCCGGGGTTTGGCTGCGACTCTGGGACCGGGCAGTCAAGGGGGAGGGGAACGGATAGTAGCTCGCGGGAGGCAGCCGCGGGTCATGTGACCGGAAGGGCTCCTGACGGACGCCGTCCCTCCTCGGCGCGGCCTGAGTGCCCGGCCCTACCCCAGCAATGGGGTGCTGCTACAGCAGCGAAAACGAAGACTCGGACCAGGTGCGGCCGCGGCAGGCGGGGCTTGGGAGTGAGGGCTTAGGCCCTGGGACGTGGGCCCCCCCCCCAAAAAAAAACCTACAGAGGAGTGGGAGCCGGAGTGCAGGGCTCACCGAGTACGGAGGCCTGTAGAGGACAGATTACAGAGGGGACGCCAAGCTGCGCTCCTACCCCTGTTAAAGTCCCAGGTCCTCACCTAGTCCCCATCAGGAGACGTGCAGGTCGCCTCCTGTCTGACTCGTTCCTTCCTCTTCCACCAACCCCTGTCTTCAAATCTTCACAAGCTTCAAGAGTCCTTCCTAGGTCTCTGGGAAGCACTTCCTTCCCATGTTCACTGTGCCTTCTCTGTGCTTGTTGCATTGAGCTTTTCGAATCCACTGTAGAGATGGTTAAGCTGATCCCCTGAGTTAGATTGTCCTGGAATGAATCAGGAATTTGCGTGTCTTCTCTGGCCCGGAGTTGGAGAAATAATGGCACTGCTAGTCTGGGGTCAGAGAAAGCTCCGAAGTTGGTGACATTTGAGTTAGCCAATCAAGAATTTTAATAGTTACAATGAGGACATAGAGACATGTGGGAAGTTGTTTGGGAAGCAGTACTGTGGATTAGCTTTGACTGACTTGAGGGGACAGGGATTGGGGAGTTTATTTGGTTCTGAACTGGGTTGCCTCCGTGCAGATTCTTCCTGGTATTTGAAGGTTCCTTTAGCTAGAGCGGTGTTTGTCTTGAGATTGTGACTAAAGACTGTACCCTTTGGAGAAAAGCTTAGGTTGGGACCGGTACAGTATTTAAATACTCCTTTCCCCTTGATGCATTCTCACTTTCTATACTTTCTATGCCTGCTGACCACTTGAAGGGGATACCTTACATGGATAACTGAAGGTGCCGGACACTTTTTTTTTCCCCCTAAACCTCAGTTCTTCCTTTCAACACATAATAGGCTCAGAGGCAGGAGAATGGTTTCATCAGATAGTATCAGCAGTCTATTGGGGGATCTTGATCCTAAATGCTCCAAACACCTAATTGGCACTTATTTCCTATGCCTGTGTCAGGCATCCCTCATAGCCAGTGTCACTAATGTCATCCTAGACTGTTGGAGAAGATGGAGATAACAGTATTTTTTACTTACTGGGAAAGCTATGGCCCAGTCGAAATTGTCCCTTAAAGCATAATGTGGACTCTTACAGGGAATACAAAGGGACATCCTCTTAGGAAGAAGGATGGCTGTTTCCAATTGGAAGAGAGCTGGGTTTGCTTCTCTCCTGATCTCCACCCTCCCTTTGATGGGCTCTCATTTCTGTTTTGTAACCCCCAGAGAAGGTGCTTGATCCAGTGATGAGTGATTTGAGGACTCATTCTTTAAAGGCCATAGCCATTCACTATTCCACTGTCATCACTGCCTTTTATTATAATAATAAAAACAAATGTAAACATGTAATTTTTATTTGTTTTTTGAGATAAGGTCTTGCTATGTAGTTAAGGCTGGCCTTGAATTTACTTGTGTAGCCTAGATTAACCACAAACTCAGAGTGATCCTCCTGCTTCAGCCTAGGTGCTGGGGTTACAGACATGCCACCATGCCTAGCACAGTACAGTTCTTTTTTTTTTTTTTTTTTTTTTTTTTTTTTTTTGTCTTTTTCCTTTTTATCGGTACCAGGGATCAAACTCAGGACTGCCTGCTTACAAAGCAGGTGCTTTATGCCACTGAGCTAAATCCCCAGCCCCCACAGTACAGTTCTTACAAGGGTTTTGAAGCAAGGAGGGTTACCATGAGCATGAGGATAACCTGGGCTGCATAGTGAGCTCAAGGTCAGCCTGATCTACGTAGCAAGATCCTAGTGAAAAAAGTCAAACAAAAAAATAAAGGGCTGGGGATGCAACTTAATGGTACAGTGCTTACCTGGTATTCTCATGAATTCCTGAAATCCCTAGTACTATTGGAGGGCAAGAAAGTGAGAAGCCAGGTGTGGTGATACAAGCCTGTAATACCAGCACTTGGGGGAAGCTGAGGCAGGACTGCTGTGAAGTCCAGCGTGGGTTACATAGTGAGACCCTGTTTCAGACAAAGAAAGGTGAAAAAAAAGTTGAGACTAAGATTTTGCAATGCTGACAAATGCCTTGCTGAGGTGTTTTGATATCAGGCTATATTTTTATGCATTGGGCCAAGCTATTTTGGCTGTCCATGCCTACAGACCAAGTGGCCAGCCAGTCATGGGTGGTTTACATATGGGTCTTGATAAGGTAAATAGTGAAACCTTGACTCTTGGGTTATATTGACTCAAAGACAAACCTTGGTGTGACAGACCTACCCCATGCTCCACTCATCTTTTGGGTGTAGAGTGATGTTATTTGTATACTCCAAAGGGAACAGCATGATCTCTTCTAGGAGTTAGGAAAGTAATCTTGTTCTTGAAATCCTGTGAGGGAAGAAACTTCCATATTCTTGCATTAAGATCTGTCAGAAGTGAGCCTGGAAGTCTCGGTGTGGTGGTGGCACAAGCATACCTGTAAGCCCAGCGCTCTGGAGGTTAATCTTGTCTCAAATTAAAAAAAAAAAAAAAAAGTGATGCTGCAGGAAGGTCTTAATTGCAGCCTCATTATGGACCCAGCTTTCCTTAGAGATGGGTTCATCTTTGGCAAACCTTTTGTCTTTCTAGCCTTTTATTAATACCAAAGAAGGGAGGTGGTCATATGGAGTATGTAGGAGTTTAGAGGTGACAGGGCAGAAGCCTACAAGTTGTTTTTTGCATGCTTTGGGTACTGGATCAAATGGTCTGAGGACACTTGGGCAATCCAGGCTTGAGAAGGAAGAGTAAGATGAAAAGGCTGGGTCTGCCCAGGGTGGGGCAGATGAAGCAGGAGGAAGTGGCCCTCAGTAAGAGGAGCTGGCTGCAGTAGCAAGAATTCTGACACGGATTGAGACAGGGTTAGAAGGGAGCTCCGAGGAGGAGTCTGGGGGTTCAGGATTTTGCACAGTGGGTTGGTGAGTCAGCATTAGCCAGGGTCTCCCTACCCCCACCCTGTCCTTGGCTTTGTCATGAGCTCTTTATGGCTTGGATAGACACCCAGCAAGTCTGCTTATCCACTTTAAAGCTGACACAAAGCCAGCAGTGAGTTACAGCAAATGGGCTCAAGGCAGAGGCAGATACAGAAAGCAGAGTAAGGGCCTGAAATAGGACAGGGAGAAATACAGTTGTACAGGACTGGGGAGACGTGGTTTGGTCCCGAGCCACTTCTTGGGTAGGGGGTGATCATCGGTGCAGACTGGTAGTAACAGTGCTCCTGAGAAGTAAGGAGGCCTCTTGGGCCAGTGAGAGAGGCATGGTGGTCTGGGTGGGGAGGGAACAATGTTCCTGTTTAGCGTTGGTCAGGATAAAGAAGGTACACTTTCTTTGGGTCTGGAAGTCACATAAAGAGCACTGGACAGGAGGGTGAACACCTGAGAGAAGGGAACTGTCCTACAGAGGGGAACACTTTTAGGTGTGACCAAGGCTGGGTGCTGTTTCTGTCCTGGGATAACCAGAGGGTTGGCCGGTGAGTTGGGCCTGCTTTGGACCTTGTCTGGATTCTGTATCTTGATAGCACCCAGGAGACTGACTACAAACCACTTTGGTGCTTCTATAGATGTTCGTGTGTGGGTTTTTTTTGCTTTGTTTTTTTGGTACTGGGGTTCAAACTCACCTCAGCCTTGCTGGGGAGGACCTTGTCCTAGAGTCGCAGGGAGGCCACTTAGGGCTCCTACCCTTTTGTTGGCATTACAGTTGTGTAACACCACAGCTGGCTCACTCTTGGACTTGACTTGCAGGGATCCCCCCTTTAGACCCTACTGTTTTAGTATTTTCCCACCTCCTCTGTCTTCCGACCTCTTGACATCTTTTTTTTCAGTGAGTGCGGGACTGTTCTCCAGGGCTGCAGGTGAATATCTGATTTGTTTCTCTGTCTTATTGTTTCAGGCCTTTTAAGACCCCCCCCCTTTTTTGAGACAGGGTCTTGCTGTGTAGCCTAGGCTGGCCTTGATCCTCCTGCTCTGCTTCCCAAGTGCTGGGATTACAGATGTGTGTCATCATGCCTGGCCCTCGTAAGATTTTTGGTTCATCCCAGATCAAAAAAAAAATTTTTTTTTTTTTTTGTCTTTTTCGTTTTTATCGGTACCAGGAATCAAACTCACGACTGCCTGCTTGCAAGGCAGGCGCTTATGCCGCTGAGCTAAATCCCCAGCCCCCCAGATCAAAAATTACACTGCACTCAAAAGGGCAAGAATCAAGTGTTATTTGGTATTCTGTAACTTTGGTACTTTGAATATTCCTTATAAAAGTATTCTTGGTGTTTAAAGGTCAGAGTTGAGCTGAGGGGAAAACTCCAGAAAATTATTGGGCTAAGGGGCTGACTTCTCTCCGATGGCCTCTTATAGGATCGAGAGGAGCGGAAGCTGCTGCTAGACCCTAGTAGCCCCCCCACCAAAGCCCTCAATGGAGCTGAGCCCAACTACCACAGCCTGCCTTCCGCTCGCACAGATGAGCAGGCCCTGCTCTCCTCCATCCTTGCCAAGACAGCCAGGTGAGTGGCACCGGACCAAGCTGGAGGCAGAGCTCCCCTGTCCAAATGAAAGGCTGGGAGAGAGGCAGCCAGACTCAGCATGGGGGATGGGACAAGGTCACAGGGCAGGGTATCTCTGGGCCCTGCCCCACTGGGCACGCAGGGACATTGGTGTCATATAGCCTGGGAATTGGCACTCCACACTGAGTCCAGTTTGTTCTTCTCTGAAACACCTGTCATGTCTTCTCTGTCTCCTCTCCCTAAAGCAACATCATCGATGTGTCTGCTGCAGACTCCCAGGGCATGGAGCAGCATGAGTACATGGACCGGGCGAGGCAGTATAGGTGAGCTCCACTCCACCTCGGGCCCCTCCCCTTCCCGCCGGCCCTTCCAGCTTTGGAGCCTGGGCCGCACCCCAGGAGACTGACTACAAACCACTTTGGTGCTTCTGTAGATGTTCGTGTGTGGGGTTTTTTGCTTTGTTTTTTTGGTACTGGGGTTCAAACTCACCTCACGCCTCAGGCAGGTGCTTAGGCCACTGAGCTAAATCCTCAGACCCTCCCTCTGTTAGCTCTCTTTGCCCTAAGTACTCTTTGAGAGTGCTGAGGCCAAGGGAGGTATACTCAGAGTGAGTCTGTAATGAGCTGAGATCCCTGATCCTGCTCCTCTGGCCTGAGGGAGGCTTGCTTGGGCTGGGCAGGGCAGGGCAGGGCAGGGCAGGGCAGGGTAGGGTAGGCGAGAGCCTGACTGCCCTTCCCCCATCACCTCCCTCTTGGCCAGTACCCGCTTGGCTGTGCTGAGCAGCAGCCTGACCCATTGGAAGAAGTTGCCACCGCTACCATCTCTCACCAGCCAGCCCCACCAAGTGCTGGCCAGCGAGCCCATCCCCTTCTCTGACTTGCAGCAGGTGAGCCTCCCCTGGCTTATCTGCTCCACCCCTCCCATACTGCCCTGCCTCAGAGGAGGTGGGAAAGTGGATTAGGAAGCGGGGTAGCCTGTGGGCCCAGCTCATTCCCACCTCTGCTGTCTGACTTTTTATAGCCTCCCCCGCTCCTTTACTCTCAACCTCTATTATTTCTCTCCTGCTTGTTCTTTCCTCCTGCCTTTTGCATCCTTGCCTTTCTCTCTGGCTTTGTTCTCCATCATTCTCTCCTCTCATTCAGTACCACCCCTCCCCCGCCCCCTGGAGCTGGGTCCCGTCTTACATGTCTCTTTCTTCCCTGGCCCCTCTGCCTCAGGTCTCCAGGATAGCTGCTTATGCCTACAGTGCACTTTCTCAGATCCGTGTGGATGCAAAAGAGGAGCTGGTTGTACAGTTTGGGATCCCATGAAGAGAGGGGTCCTGGACAGCCCTTCTCCTCTCTTCAGCTCGTCTCCACCACACCTCCCCTGGTCCCCAGCCTCACTTCGGCTTATACAGTACCCTAACCTGCTACTAATCACGGAGAAGAATGTGAAGAAGAGCGAGGGTAGAAGCCCGAGCAAGTGGGGACAGCAAGTGGGGTAGAACCTTTGGGACTGGCCTTCAGAGACCTGGCTGGGGTGGGGTGGGGTGAGGGCCAAGAGGACAGGGCCTGGTAAGTGTCCCAGTCATTGGGAAGCTAGAGATACCACTGTGGGAATGAACAACAGGGGACCTAGGGATCCCCTTCCCACCCTTTCTCTTGGCTTCAGATTATTTACTTCAGTCCCCCCTCCCTGACTTGGTGCTCACATGCACCTCACTAGAGTTTGTGACCAGGGTCTGGATGAGTGTGAATCTTAATGGAGTTTGTATTTCTAGCACCCTGGGTTTTTACATGTTTGGTCTTTTTTCTTTTTGTTTTTGTTTGTCACCCTCGATAAAGGAAGTGTATTCATTTGTGTGCTGGTTCCAGCCCCTCTGTCCTCCTGCCCACCATTACACTACTTCTGGCTACTCAGGCCTGTGGGCAGTGAGATCAGGGAAGGGAGCATCTTCAAGGGGCAATAAAGAGGAATCCACGAGATAAGGGTTTAGGATTCCAGGTGCTAAGGCTGGGTAAGAAAATCATCAAGGCTGAGCAGTTTTGAATCAGGCACCTGTGCTATTGAGGACCCTGCTTCAGGCTCAGAGAAATTACCAAGGGTCTTGGGTGTTTGGCAAAGATAAGGCTCTGCCTAGAACACTTGGTTTTTTGAGACAGGGTCTTACTGTGTAATTCAAACTGGTTTTGAACTTACTCTGTATTCTACGATGGCCTTGAACTTGTGCGAGTCCTCTTGCTTCAACCTCCCAAGTGCTGGGATTACAGACATGTTGCCACCATGCCTGGCCTTTTGTTTTTTAATGTAAGGTCTTAAAGTGTAGTCCATGCTAGTGCTGAACTTAATATGTAGCCCAGGCTGGCCTTAAACTGAGGGTAGTCATCCTTCCTGAGCTTCCCAAGTGCTGGGACTACAGGCATGCACCACTGGCTCAAATGAAATCTTAAGTGATGTCCCAACATATAGAACAGAGAGAACTACACTAATCTGATTAAGTGGGTTACTGCCCATCTTCTGGGCCTTTCATGGAGGCCTCATTGGCAGCTCCTCACACCCTGGTGTGCTGAAGAACTTGGCAAGTAGCCATTTGCTCTAGTTCCATAATAATCTAAGCTGAAGAGTACAGAGAGGTCCAGAGAGACTAGATGAGTTGCGCAAGGCCACGTGATAGAGCCAGCTCTCCCGTGACCTAGGCCAGCAGGCCTTGCCCTGCACGGCCTTCCTTAGGGAAGTAAGACTAGAGCTACAAATGGTTGCTGGAGTTGGAGGACATCACAATGAGGTACATATGACTTCCAATCCGCTGAACAGCTCAAATCATTTATTGTTAAGCCAAGCTGACTGTCTTCAGGGGTCAAGACCTGAGGGAAACTCAGAGCGCATTCTCCTTGATGTGTGTCTTTCTGGGCTTGATGTTCATGCGTTTCCAGACCTCAGCTGTGGTGCGGTCTGTTTTGGTGACCCCACTGAAGTCGAACGTAGTGATACGAGGCAGACTGCACAGCACGTATTGCCTGTGGGAAGACTCACAGGCACAGTCCCCTTCCCCTCTGCTTCCCTGAATTGCTGCTATCTCCTCTGAATGGAGGGACTGGAGTATGGTTTGTGGGGAGAGTGGGTTCATCCTGAAAGCAAGAAACGCTTCGAGGTCTGCTACTCCCCTTTTCAGGACCACATAGAGCAGAAGAATGGTGTGACTTCTTGTCTTCCCTCTTCCCACAGAGGAGCCCAGCTGGACCCCAGGGATAGGACACTTACCTGTACCCTCTCTCTTCCTCTATGGGGTTCCCGTGGAGCGTCAAGCTCCGGAGTCGAGGGAGAACAGCTAGTTTGTTCACCTCCCCCAGGCGCTGGATGCTGTTGCCATGAAGGTAGAGGACACTCAGGTTGAAGAATGTCGTTAGGACCTGGGGGGAGGAACACAGAAGCCAGGCTGGACAGGACTCTGGGTGGTTCTGCTCAAAACTGACTTTGGCAAAGAAAGAAAAAGGTTTGAAGAACCACCACTTTGTGGGTGGCTCTGTACTTTCATTTACTTTTAAGGGACACAGGGCCAGAGATATAGTTCAGTGGCACAGCGCCTGCTCAGCAAGCACAAGGTCCTGAGTTTGATTCCTGGTACAAAAAAAGGAAAAAAAAAAAAAGCAAAATTAAACAAACACATAAATTTAGGCATTGACACAGACCCATCACATTGAAGTAAAACTGTGACCTGATGGGCAGGAGATGTGGGCCCTGGGTCCCAGCACTGCCAGGTGGTGGTTCTCCTGCCTACCTCTCCCTGAGCCTAACTGTTCACTGTGATCTAAGTTTTGGTGACAGCAGGCCATAGGAAGGCAGAGTGTCTTGCTAGGTGTGTAAGGAAAGCTTGCAAGATACTTGATATAAGATTACTATACCAGGGCAGCAGCCTCCAAGTCTTGCCTCAGCCCCTTTCTCTGCAAGCAGGGATCCTGGCAAGGAGGGGCCACATTCTGTTTATTTCTTAAAACTTGAATTAGATTTCTCAGCAAGTAAGGGGCATACTTTTCCACCTAACTCTTCCACAGAACTTGACACAAGACGCAGTGGGTACTAAACAACAGTAGCTCCTGTTCTGTTTCTGTTGTTGATGTACCAGTTGATCCTCATATTTTTATTTAATCTTTACAAAACCTTGCTGCCGACACATTATCCTCGTTTTCCAGATAAGGCAGGGTAAGATGGTATAATTTGGTTTGCAGTAGGGGCATTGAACCCAGGGCCTTTAGACCGAGCTATATCTCTAGCACTTTTCATTTTCAAACAGGGTCTTCCTAAGTCACTGAGGTACACTCTGAGCTCAAAACTTGTGAACCTCCTCCCAGAGGTCTGGGATTACAAGTGTATACCACCATGTCTACCTAAGGCTGAGATTTTGAGAGACTGCCCAAAGTCAAAGTAAAGAGGCACACTTGGGATTTAAACCTGTATCTTAGTGACCCCTAGTTACATGCTTTGGACTGTACCATGCAGCCCTTTTCCTTGATGAAGACATGACAGTGGAGAGGTCAGAGTAGTTTCAGGGACCCCCATCCCACCCCACCCTGGACTCCAAGGGCTAGGAACTCACGGGGTCAATGGAAGTCAGGTCATTGAAGGATAGATCAATCCAGGCCAGGTTCTCTGGGTGCTCCAGCAACTGTGAAACCACCGGGTTGAAATCTCTCAGGTCACTGAGGACATTGTTGTTCAGCCACAGGGACTGGGTCAGTGACTTCCCTGACTTTGAATGCTTCAGTGGTCGTAGCCCTGTCCTTGGCTCCTCACTGATCAGATCTGTGAGAACAAAGTGAGGCTTGACTATGTCACCTTTGCTTGTTAAACAGTGGGAAGGAACAGGTGGGAAGATGAGTAGTTCATGCTGTGGCTAGAGGAGCTGAGGGTTCCACAGCACTGTTGTCCCATAGCTCTAGCAATCAGAGTTAAATCTGAACCAAGGGCCAAAGACTTGGCATCTCAAACTTGGCTCTGCAGGTCAAATGGTCTGATTATGTCTGTTATGTACCAGAGTGTTATATATACCAGTCTGATGTGGGAAGGAGGGTGAGGGAAGGCCATCCGCATTGTATAGATGAGCAAACTAAAAATCAGAGTTGTAGGGGCTGGGGATTTAGTTCAGTGGCATAAGCACCTGTCTTGCAAGCAGGCAGTCCTGAGTTCAATCCCCGGTACCGATAAAAAGTTAAACAACAACAACAAAAAAAACCCCAGAGTTGTTAGACTTGACCCAAGAAGTTGTTAATTAAGTGAAGAGGTGAAAGGATGAGCAAAGGCACAGAGGTATAAACCAGCATGGGTGTGTGCACCTGCCCAATGCATGTTCACCAAAGGGACAAAGAGGAAAAAGATGAGCCAGTCAGTTGTCTTAAATACCAGGCTAAGGATCTCAGGCTTTATCCTATAGGTGATGGGAAGCCACCAGTATGTTTAAAGCAAAGGAAATGATTCAGTGGTTTTGCTTGAAAGATCATTTTAAAGCTTCTGTGTGAGTAGGTGGGACCATAAGACCAGCTTGGCTATTTAGTAGAGAGGGAGAGGGACATATAAGCAGCATGACTTGAATGAATGACTTGACTGAATATTCAAGGGAAGGGGCTGGGGATATAGTTCAGTGGCAAACATGAGGTCATGAGTTTGATCCCCAGTACCAAAAAAAAAAAAAAAAAAAAAAAAAAAAGAATATTCAAGGGCAAAAGGATAGAAGCCTATTCAAGGGCGATGCCCAGTTTTTGCTTGTTTGGATAACTGGGTAGATTATTAACTGATAATTACAAAAGGAGAGGCTAGATTGGTAAAGTGATGACTTCAGGCTTGACCTTGGTGTTTTTGAGTTCCTACTGTAGTACAGAAAGGTAGAGAAGCCAAGGAGACAGTTGGATGTGTAAATCTGAAGCCCCAGAGAGACTTGAGAATCATTAACTTAGGGTACACAAAGTAGAGAAACAGATGAGGCTCCTCAGAGTGAGGGTAAGAGAGGAAGAGGAGTCCATTAAAGAAAATAAGGACCAGACATGGTGGCTCAGGCATGTAATCCCAGCACACAGGAGGTGAGGGAGGATTGCTACTAATTCAAGGCCTCGACTACATAGCAAGACCCTGCCCTCTCCAAAAAAACAAAAACGCCAAAAAAGCAAACCTCTGAAGAAAATAAGTTAATGAGTAATCAGGGAAGGACAGGAAGAACCAAGAGAACGGTTTTAAAAAGTGGTTAGGGGGTTGGGGATATAGCTCAGTGGCACAGTGCCTACTTGGCAAGCACAAGGTCTTAAGTTTGATACCCCAAACAACAAAAACAGAAACCCCCTCTTTCCCAAAAAAGTGGTTAGGAACTAGGTGTGGTGGTGCATGTTTGTAATCCCGGCACTTGGGAGGCTGAGGCAGGGGGATCACTGTGAGTTTGAGGCCTGCCTAGGCTACATAGTGAGACTTTGTCTCAAAAAAAAAAATAAAAGTTATAGAAGAAAGTTTTAGGGAGACAAAGACTGGAAAATACTTTGGTGACTCAGAAATTCTTGATTCCTTGACCAGAAAACAGACTGGAGTGAGTTCCAGAGTGAATAAAAGGTAAGGAAATACAACCAGGTAGCAGTGCTCTCTGCAAGTTTTTAAAAACATTGGTCCAGCAGGGCATGGTGGCACACATCTGTAATTCCAGCACTCAGGAGGATTGTTGCAAATTTGAGACCAGCCCGGACTACAAAGTGAGCTCAAGGCCAGCCTGAACTGCAAAGTGAGACCCTGTCTCAAAAAGATTAAAGAAACAGGGGCTGGGGATTTAGCTCAGCGGCATAAGCACCTGCCTTGCAAGCAGGCAGTCGTGAGTTCAATCCCTGGTACCGATAAAAAGGAAAAAGACAAAAAAAAAGAAAGAAACAAAAAAAGCATTGGCTCACGCTCACAATCAGTAGCAGAGCCAGACACCAGATCTGGCTGGGGTGATTATATTTTCCTAGTGCTCCTAAACATTTGTTTACAATCAAAGGGTGCTTTTGGGGGTAGCATTATTTAGTGTTTGCCAAGTCTAGCCAGGCTATTTTCACACTTGCTCCAGTTCTCTCCTGGACAGTTAGTTCTCTGACCCCTACCCAGCCTTAGGCTTCTCCCCTCAGCTGCAGAGCAGGCAGCATCCACCAGATGGCTCTCTGCCTTAGTCCTGCAGTGAGCAGGACCCACGGGGCAGAGGACCACTGTGCATGAACAGAGTCCAAAGCTTGTCTCCCTCACCACCCCTCCTGACAACCCCGATGAAACTAAGGCCAAAATAACTTCATTTGAGTTTGCAGGCAGTCTAATGCAGCAGACAAACTTGAGATGCCACTAAACATCAGCTGGTCCCAAACTGTGGGGGCCACTGGATAAGTGAATTTGCCTGAAATACGAAGCTTCTGTTAGCAAGATTGGAGTGGCTCCAACTGCTGTAGGTTCTTGGTCCCTTCAGAGTCCACCAAAGTGCTAGCCATTCTCTGAGGATCTAGTAAAGGTTTCCTTGTTTCAACTGGGTTCAGTAGGATAGACCTGTAATAGGATGCAGAGGCAGGAGGATCACAAATTCAAGCCCAGACTAGATAATTTAGTGAGACCCTGTCTCAAAAAGAGGTAGGAATGTAGCTCAGTGCAAAGGTGCTGGGTTCAATCCTCTACTACCAGAAAAAATTTCCTTGTTCAAAGCAGGCCAAGACAAGTTTGGAAACTAGACAACAAATAACAACCATAGAACTGGGAAATTCAGAAGGACTGGGAGAAACCATTGTGTCGTCTTATCTTTGAAGGGCTGCCATATAGCTTTGTCCATGTATTTCCAGAAGCAGATGTCAGTTTGATATAAAGAAATCTATTATCAACCCCATAATGGATGTTGGTATGAGGTGGGGGACACCCTTAGCACTAGGTTTGTGAGTAGAAGCTAGGGACTGTGGGTTTTACATGGGATCAGTACATGTTTGGTGACAATTCCCAAGCTTTTGCTTTGCCAACCAGTACAAATTAAATGCTTTCTTTTCTTTTCTTTTTTTTTTTTTTGTACTGGGGACCAAACTCACAACCTTATGCTTACCAGGCAAGTGCTTGAGCCACTGAGCTAAATCTCCAGCTTAAATGCTTTGTAAAGCTACTATCACTTCAGAGTCTGTGATCCATCTTGATTAGTTCAGCAAATAGTTTCCCAAATACATGCAAATCCTATTGTGTTCTCTGATCCTAGTGATATTTCCAAAGCTCTGAGAAACTGAAGAGACTGGCCTTTGGAGACTGATTTGCCTGTCTTCCTCGATCCCTTACACACACTTAGCAAGGAGCACAATGCCTCTGTGTGTGTATACATACATCTATATAAACATCAAAGCTTAATAGTAGGTACTCAGTAACTGAAGTATTGAATGAAGGACAAGACCTGCATGTGGGGATTCTGGTTTGTGCTATAGAGATACCACTGGTCCTTTATTTTTGAGACGGGATCTCATTCTCTAATTCAGGCTAGCCTTGAATTTACAGTGGTCCTCTTGGCTCAGCCTCCTGAGTGCTGGGATTACAAGCGTGCACCACCATTCCTGTCTTAGATGCCCCTGGTAGTAGTAGCTCGTCTCTCATTCTGAGTTCAGAGAGAAGAGCTGCACAGCCTCCTCAGAGCTGGGGATTTACACAATGAGGAGAGCTCTACTCTATCCCGCACTTGTCACTTTAGTCACCTTGCACACAGTTATTACTGCACCTAAGCCCCTTGTGAAACATGGACTGCATCAATCAAAGATCACAATAGGTGTGCATCTGCTGGGGAGACTTCAGATATGAGTTACAACTGTGGCTAATGTTAACCTCAATAGTGCTTAAACCCAAGCGAAGGCTAGTAGCATTCCTCAGCTTCCTGCGCTTACAAGTAGCTTCAGCTGCTTAACAGAGAAGACCAAAGCCCAATGATCAGTCTAGGATAGTGAGTATGATCCTGTATTCTGTGAGGACTGGTAGTAAAAGCCAGGAACAGCAGAAGCTGGGAAGAACCCATCTCCTTGAGACCTGCATTGCAGAGAGCCTGTCCCATGGCCCTTTGAAGGGTACTAGCTGCCCATTTATAAAGACACTGGTAAAAGGGGAGTGAGTATGGGCAGTGTTAGAAACTGCATGGCTGGAGTAAATGAGAAATTTGTCAATAAATATTTAAAACTGGAAACATGTCAGCTTGTTAGTAATAAGCCCCCTCTGGTTTATCAGTGATCAGAATAGATGTGTGTTCCTAGACAGAGGACACAGTCCTGCCTATTTGCTGGAATTCGGCAGTAGCCTGTAGTTTCTGCTCCTCTTCTCAAGTAAAAACAAGAGAATAAAAGAACTACTGGCTGGTAGACAGATGTTCTTTTCTTTTTTCCTCCCCTACTGGCACTAGAGTTAAATTCAGGGAATGCAACATACTCAGCTGTTTTTGAGACAAATTGCTCAAAATAAAAGCTCCCTTAGGGGGGCTGGAGATTTAGCTCAGCGGCATAAACACCTGCCTTGCAAGCAGGCAGTCGTGAGTTCAATCCCCAGTACCGATAAAAAAAAAAAAAAAAGCTCCCTAGGTTGCTTAAGCTTCTGATCCTCTTGCCTCAGCCTTCCAAGTTGCTGAAACTACAGTCATGTGCCTGTTTTTTTTCTTTTTTTCCCTCTCTCTAAACTAGGGATTACACTCAGGAAATGTTACATACCTAGCTGCCTGTTTTTTTTGTTTTTGTTTTTGTTTTTGTTTTTTTTGTCTTTTTGAGACAGGGTCTCACTATGCAGTTCAGGCCAGCCTTGAGCTCACTTTGTAGCCCAGACTGGTCTTGAACTCGAAACGATCCTCCTGCCTCAGCCTCCGGAGTGCTGGGATTACAGGCGTGAGCCACCACGCCCGGCCACTGCCTGGTTTTTTGATGGGGGTGGAGGCACTGGGAATTGAACTCAGGACCATTGCATTGAGCTATAGTTCCCAAACCCTTAAAAGTTTAATTTTTTGTGTTTTGTTTTGTTGTTTGACACAGGGCCTTGCGGTATTGTTCAGGCTGACTTTGAACTCATTATGTAGCCCAGGTTGGCCTCAAATTCATGGCAATACTCCTGCTTCAGCCTCTCAAGTGCTAGGATTGTGGATGTATGCCCCCATTCCCTGCTACTGGGCTTTTTTTTTTTTTTTAATGGGCTTCTTTTGAAGACAGTTGCCTACTCTGAGAGGCCTCTGGTTCCTTTCAGATTTGCTGTTAAAGAGCAAACAAACCAAACAAAAAATACTTGTAGCTCAGTGCAACTCAGTACGGGATGGGGTTTGATCCCCAGCATCACAAAAACAACCTCTCCCTTTCCCTCCCCACTTCTACCCCAATGATGATAACAAATCTACAAGTGTATAGGAAGAATCACTTTAGGCTCTTAAGTAGAAGACTGGTTTTTCCCTGGGACCACACTGGGCCTCTTGTTCTGTGAGCAAAAGAGCTGTACTCATGGGCTGACCTTGGATGACACTGATGCTTTTGAAGGAGTAGTCAAGAGGAGGCTCCTGCACCGAAGTGTTCATGTAGTCCTGCTTGCTCATAGTTCAGGCCATCGTTTGTCACCTGCAAGCACTGGCCTGGGGAGTCTGGGTGCAGCCTAGCAGGAGAGAGAAGGATGGGTTTTCCAGGTACAAGGGCCACTTTGCTTGTAACCCTCCACCTCTACTTTCTATTCCTCTACTACTCTAGGCTTGCCTACTGCATTTCTATTCTAAGATACTACATTTTCCTTTTGAGACAGGTTCTCATTATGTAGTTTGGGCTGGCCTTGAACTCACAATATAGCATAAGCTGGCCTCAAACTCAGAGATCCTTCCTGCCTCAGCCTCCCAAGTATTAGGGTTACAGACTTGTGCCACCATGCCTGATTACGATACTAGTCATTATTTCTTGCATTTGGAAGGGACTTTCTCCTCAGAGTGCATCCGTATCTCTTAGAACTTATCTGATAACTGTAATATCCATTTCTATTTTCCAGATGAAGAAACAGACCCAAGGGGTAAAGGACTTGCCCAGAGTGAAGCCAGTGAGTTAGGTGGGAACTGCAGTCATAGTCTCCTGCATCTTCCTCTGAGTGTTTCTGCTACTCCACAGTAGTTACCATGGAGACTGTCTTTATACCTACCCTCTGGTGACATCAGTTGGGCTCCTCTGTTGCTTAACAAACCTTTGAGCTGCTACACTGGGTCTGCTTGGTGACTGAGAGCTCACTGTAGCCTGATCCAGCTGGGGATGTGTCACTGTCTCTGCCCACTTTGTACCTCAGTCTCATTCCCTGTCCACCTGAAGACATTACTTTCAGCCACATCCTGAATGTAGCTCCAGACCATAAACATACACAAAACCAGAGCTTGCCTCTTACACTCACCTGTCACTGATGCCTGAAACTCCACCATTAGGGATTCATTCCTTTGGGTTCAGGGATTGTTCCCTGTTAAAATGGAAATACTCCCCAAAAGGGGTGAACACAAAGTTGTTATCAGTCATTTGCAATGTGGTGTGAATTGTTCTATCAGATTCCAATTTGTTAGCTGATGTAAAGCTGAGAACAGATTTTTCCTGGAGTCTAGGGAGAGTCACGGAATACTACTCACCTGGAATGATGAGAACTAAAAACATTTTACCAACGGATTTTTAGCATGTGCATCACATAAACAAGAGACAAATAGCCCTGATACTCAAGAGGTTGAGGCTGGCCTGGAAAAAACTAGACTATCAAAAAAGAAAAACCCACCAGGTGTGGTGGTGCATGCCTGTAATTACAGTCCTTGGGATGTTGAGGCAGAAGGATCACTGAGAATCTGAGACAGGCTGGGACTAAATAGTTCAAGGACAGTCTGAAATACATAGCAGGACCCTGTCTCAAAAACAGATACGATTCCTTCCTTTTTTTAAAAATTATTTTATTTATTTATTTTTATTCCTTCCTTTTCATACCATCTGTTGTTGGATGAGGTTGAGCATAATTATATACTCATCAAACAGGATGTTTTATAAAACAGTGCTGTCCAGCTGGGGATTTAGCTCAGCGGTATAAGCACTTGCCTGGCAAGTGTGAGATTGTAAATTCAATCCCCGGTACCACCTTCCCCCACCAAAAAAAAAAAAACAAAAAAAAAAAAAAACAAAAAAAACCCCAGTGCTGTCCAACAGAGGTGTAATACATGAGTTACATGAGCAAGACTCTTATATAATAGTTTAGCTTTTTTATTTGTTTTCTTTTGGCTTTTTTTTTTTTTTTGTCTTTTTCATTTTTATCGGTATTGGGGATTGAACTCACAACCGCCTGCTTGCAAGGCAGGTACTTATGCTGCTGAGCTAAATCTCCAGCCCCTCTTTTGGCTTTTTTTGTTTTGAGACAGGATGTTGCTGTGTAATTCAAGCTGGCCTTGAACTCACTGTGTAGCCCAGCCTGGCCTCAGACTTGCAGTGATCTTCTTGCCTCAGTCTTTTACGTGTTGGGGTTATAGGCGTATGCCATTGTGCCTGGCTATGCAATGGAAATTTTCTAGAGATAATGAAGGTAAAATGAAACAGGTAAAGTTAATATGTTTTTAAAAATCTAATACATCTAAAATATTCAACATATAATAGAAATTATTGAATTACAATTTGGATCAATTTGCTGTATGGACATTGTAGATTCATAAATTAGATGAAAAGAAAAGATATTTCAGACTAGTAATCTATGCTTATATTTAGCTATGAAATTCTTGGTAGCCAAAGCAAAAAGAGAAACCTTGGGATGTGAGTTCTTATTATTGGAGTCAAAGAAGAAATTAGTCTGTATGTAGAGACATTGAAATTGACAATATTATTTATTTTTGTGGTACCGGGGATTGAATCCAGGGCCTCTGCACTAAGTGACATCCCTAGATCTTTTAAGATCAGTTATTTTTATTTTAGATAAGGTCTCACTAAATTGTTAAGTTGCCCAAGCTGGGCCTGAACTTGTGATAATCCTGTCACAGCCTCCCAGAGAGCTGGGCTTACAGGTGTGCACCACCATGCCCAGCTGGCAAATACTTATAAAATAGAATTTCTTAAAAATTGAGGGCCTGATTCTAGTTTAGACCTAATACAGTTCAGTTTAGTGGGTTTCAGGGGATAGAAAGGGAAGGTCTTACTCTCAGAAAGAAGCAGTCTCAACTGAACCTGGGCACGTGCTAGCCTGAATAAGGTAATAACTGAATTCTCAGTCAGCTGTGGGACTGGTCAGTTGTTGATTAGGGAGATCTAGATCTCTGAGATAACAGTCTGCAGACAAGATATCAAATGGCAGCAATGCAGAGTTGGAATTGGAGACTGAGACTGGTGACCAAGGTGGTCTCCAAAGAAGCCATGGAAGCCAGTGTTGAGGTGAGCCTGGTGCAGGTGAGCAGCGGTGCAAAGATCTGAGTTCCTCTGCTCTGGAGATGGCCACATGGTCACCAGAGATAGACTTGGGGGCAAAAAGCCAAGCAAGAGTAGAAGAGGAGCTGGGCATGGTGGCACACACCTATAATCTTCAGCAACCTGGGCTATGTAATGAGTTCATGACCAACTTGGACTATATAGTGAGACTGTTCTTAACTCCCCTGCGAGGGGGAGGGGGAAGCAGAGAAGGAACTGTTAAAGGCATATCAAGCAGGAAAATATGGAGCTGGCCATGAAAAGATTCCACAAGCAGTGAAATAAAGCTTGTGGGAACACATGGGCCATAGCCTATTCATTTGACATGCTTTCTCACACATGCAAGGTTCATTTATTGCAATAATGATTTGGTTTTGTGGTTTTTTTTTTTTTTTTTTTTGGTACAGGAAATCGAATTTAGGACCTCAGGCTTGCAAGGCAGATGCTGTACCTGTGTCCCCTTTTTTTTTGGTACTGGGGATCAAACTCATGACCTCACAACTTTGTGCTTGTCAGGCAGGTACTTATGTTGCTAAGTAATCCTTTGCCTCTGCCCCTTTTTTGGGACAAGGTCTCACTATGTAGCCTAGGAGAAGGGTAGGCTTCCAACTCGTAGCAATCCTCTTGCCTCAGCCACCCAAGTGCTGGGATTACAGGCATGTGCTACCATGCTGAGCTCTAGTTGTTTGTTCTTTTGTTTGTCTGAGGCCTTAGCCTCCCAATTACAGGATTCCAGGTATGTACCACAGCACCTGGCATTTATCTGAGTCTATAAGCAGTCAACAAAGAACATATATTCTTTTGTAGAAATAGAGGAACTTAACTGAGATGAACCTAGGCATTGAAGCACCTACAACAGGTTTGGTGCCTGCATACTTTTTTTTTTTTTTAATTTTTTTTCTTTTTCTTTTTTATCGGTACCAGGGATCAAACTCACGACTGCCTGCTTGCAAGGTAGGAGCTTATGCCGCTGAGCTAAATCCCCAGCCCCCGGTGCCTGAATACTTTTTCAAGGAGTTTTAGGTTGGAATCCTATAGTTTTGTACTACTGAACATGAATTTTAGCTTAAACACTGACGGGTAGATTTTTCCTGTTAATTTCCTTGAACTTTCCAAAGAACTTCAGTGCAGTTCCTAAGAATTCATTCTGTGCAGCACCAGCTCCTAATGGATTTTCTGAGTCAGTGCTAAAAATAGGTCTCCAAGAAGCTAGATAAAGCCCCGTATAGTGTCTCATGCCTATAATCTCAGTACTTGGGAGGTTGAGGCAATAGCATTGTTGCAAATTCTCAACAAAAGTAAGTTCAAGGCCAGCCTGAAATGCATAGCAAAACCTTGTCTCAACAATACAACACAACACATCACCACCATAAAAAAAAAAAAAAAAAAAAAACAAAAACCCAAGCTGTATAAATTTGCTAATGGAATGTTTTTTTTGTGTTTTTTTTTTTTTTTTGAGACAGGGTCTCTCTATGTAGTTCAGGCTGGCCTTAGGCTCACTTTGCAATCCAGGCTGGTCTCGAATTAACAATGATTCTTCTGTTTCAGCCTCCCAAGTGTTGGGATTACAGGCTTGTGCCACCACACCCAGCTGGACTGGGTTATTATTAACCTCCATTAAAAAACAGTAGCCCAGGGCTGGGGGTTTAACTCAGCAGCATAAGCGCCTGCCTTGCAAGCAGGCAATCGTGAGTTCGATCCCTGGTACCGATAAAAACAAAAAAGACCAAAACAAAAGTGTCATCCAAAAAACAGTAGCCCAGGCTGTGAGACAGTATCATATCTTACTTATCATTTTACACACAACCTGGTTTACTATAGACACTTGGGAAATGTTTGTAGTATGAATGAGAAGCTGTCCAAGGATTTCTTTAAAATTTTTTCATTTTTATTTATTTTTTTAAGGATTTCTATTTTGGGAAGGTTGCTACAAAATTGTTCTGACTACTGGTTCCCAGGGTCAACTGTTTCATTCCACATTTCACTTACAGTGAGATATCGATTCAGTTTTGCAAACATCTGTTGAGTGCCTGCTGCCCTGTGCCTGACCAAAAGGAATGAAGCCAAGATACACATAATAGAACCCTGTTACAAGCACAGAAAGACCTGCTGGGTTTCTGCTGATAGTGGCAAACCTGCTTGCATCCAGTTCCAAGTAACAGCTGCCTATTCAGTGACTCCTCTCATGTTTTGACACTCAGTTGTGGTGTACCTTCTACAAAGCCTCTCTTTTCCATATAGAATTGGTCAAGTGTCCTGTGTTAGAGTGATTGCTTTGATGTTCCCTATTCATGTATCTATTTGCTTTGTGCTCTATAACTTTACAGTTCTACCCCCTCTAGTGCTGGACACAGCAGTGTAACTTGTTCTGGCCAGTGGACTGTCAAGAAACACACAGCAAACAGGAACTTTAAAGGGGGTTTTCACTGTTGCTCCCTGCCAGTGCCATGAGAAGAGAACATGCTGGCCTGCAGAAGCGAGATGAGAGATGTGCTGAGACCACCTCTGGGTAAGATCAGGAGAGCTGGGCCAGGGATTTAGCTCAGCGGGGTAAGTACTTGCCTGGCAAGCATGAGGTCGTGAGTTAAAAAAAAAATCAAGAGAGTTGTCAAGAGAGGCATGGCCCAGAAAAACCATCCAACTGACTCAGAGGCTTAGAAGTAAGGATAATTACTGTTTTTAGCCACTCTCTTTTTTTTTTTTTTTTGGTGGTGGGGGGTTGTCACACGGCAATAGCTAACTGATGCTTGCCCTCTTGTACTTTAGACAGAACTTCATTATACCCTATTATCTCACCTATGAAGTGAAGAAAAACTCTCCCTTGGAATAAATGGAAGCAGTTGTACTCTGTACTTATTTCTTTACATTACTTTCTGTAAATTTGAGGGCAGAGACAAGAAGTCAGATTTTTTTGTTTCTCCAATTATTCTTCACTGAGCTTAGCAAAAACTGGGTATTCATTAATGGTTTGATGAGCAACTGGACAAATGAAAAATGAAAGAAGAAATGTAGGAATAAATGTGGTCTGCATGCCAGGCATGATGGTGCACATCTCAAATCAGAGCACTCAGTAGGCACAGGCAGGAGGATTGCTGCAAATTCAAAGCCATCCTGGGCTATATAGTGAATTCAAGGCCAGCCTAGACTGCACAGTGAGCCCTTGTTTCAACAAAACAAAACAAAAACAATAAAAAATGGAAAATGGAAAATAATAAAGGGGATCTTTAAAGTGTCACACAGAGGATATGACTTCTGGAGAGACCTGACAAAGCTGAGAGGCTGCAGTCCTGTGGCTGTCTCCTGGTTCATGAGCTGGAGACAGTAAGACTCTAGCACCTTCATCTGACCAGACTGACTGACTTAAAAAATGACAGGGCTAGTGACATACTTGTTCTATTTTGAATCAGAAATTTTTCAAATTGTAAAAAAATTTTTTGGTGGTGGTGGTCCTGGGATTTAACCCAGGGCCTGCCTTTGCATCCTCAATCCTTTTTATTTTGAGACAGGGACTCCTAAATCATTAAGTTGCCCAGCCTGGGTTGGAGTTTGGAATCATCTTGCCTCAGTCTCACAGAATCCTGCAATAACAGGAGTTAGATCTGACTTTTTTTTAAATTGTGAAAGTTAACAAGATAGTTGAAATCAAGTCAAACAATGTAGAGAAGAAGTACAAGCAGCAGGGCTGAGGGTTTGGTTCA